ATATTTATAAGTTAATTTAAATTTGACTTAAAATTTGATTTGAACTTAACTCAACTCAAATAAATTCAAGTCAAAATCGAGTTAAGTTAAACTCAAGTTGAATCAAATTAAGTCAAGTTTAAAATTTATATAACTCGAATCAAGTCGAGTTAAAAGATTTTATAAAATAAATTTGACTCGACTCGACTCGAAAAAAATGAGTTAAATAGAGTTGATCTTTAAACTCGACTCGACTCGACTCATTCAGAACTCTATGCAGAACTGATAGAACTGTTTTTTTTATTTAGAAAAAGTTAATGGTATAGCAATACAATTAAAAAAGAAAAATCTATTCATGACTTCTATTCATTGTATCGCACATAGACTTCATTTAGCTGATCAAGATGTAGCAATAGAAGTAACATATTTTAAAGAATATGAAGTTATTTGTAAATAATTATATGGATATTTTAGTAGATCATATAAATAGATGCAAAATTTAAAGTTTATGTAAGATATTAACAAAGATCTGCAACTTATCATTTTGAACATTATTAATACAAGATGACTATCTATGTCAAATGTTATGCATAATCTCCATCAAGTTATTTTTTCAGTTATTGATACTCTTAATAATACCATAGCTAATGCAGAAAATTCTAAAGATAGGGATCGAACTTCTCAATTAGTTAGTAATCTTGATCCAGAATTTATTATATCAACAATGTTTCTAGCAGATTTAATGTACATTTTATCAAAAATGATCAAGACTTTTCAATGTGATCATATAGATCTTTCAGAATTAAAACATTCTTTGGAAATAATGATTTCAGCTATTAGCACACGATTTATTGGAACTGAAGAAGTTTCTCTAACATATAGTATAATTTTATATAAATATATGGTAGATAATAATATTCATTCTGATTTAATACCTTCTTTTATTTTAAAATTTTCTGAAGAAATTATTAGAGCTTTAAAGAATCAATTTCCAGATTCAGAAATTTATAATGCACTAAAAATTTTTGATCCCAAATTTTTACCTCAAAAAGAAAGTGAAATTGCATATTATGAAAATAATGAAATCAAAATTTTAACTGAACATTATGGAATTGATCGGTTATCAATTTCTTACGAAAATTTTTTTGCATATTTTAATGAAATTGAATTAAATCAAGAATGGGGAATAGTTAAGCAAATAATGAAATCAATTCGTGATTTTGATTTTGTAAAAGGATGGAAACATATTTAGAATACAAAAACCTTACTTTATTAATGATTATCCATTAATTTCTAAACTTATTAGGCTAGCTTTAATAATTCCTCTTTCCAATGCTCATGTTGAGCGGGTATTTTCTCATCATAAATTAACCAAGTCCAAATTAAGAAATCGGATAAATCATGATACACTAAACATGCATTTAATGATATTTGCAAATGGACCTGATGATTTTCATAATTTTGATTGAAATAGCACATATAATTATTGGGCAAATTAATATGTTCGGCAAGCTAATAAATAAAAAATATTCATATATTCAATTGTTTTTATTTTATTCATAATTCATATAATATCCAATTAATGAAGTTATGCATATTTCATATATTATATATTCAATAAAAATGAAAGTTTTATAAAAAAAATTTTTTTGCGCACAGTTGAAAAATTATTCATGTACCACTATGCGACAATAACACACTACCCAACACAATTTTCGCACATGATCTCACTATATAATGTGCACCTTCCGCACGCATGTATAAGTTTGAAAATCATACACTACCTACACATCTGATTATAAATAAAATAAATAAATAAGTAATAGAAATAACATATATATACAGAATATATAAATTATTTTCCTGTTCAACATCGTCAATGACTTTTTTAACTTCTCCTTCAAAACTTTTTGGTTTCATATCAATAATCTCATATACTTTCTTCTTTATGTCTTTCCAATCTTTCCCAAAATACAAAAACATTCCATGTGGATATTCAGAACTTAAATTAACAATTGATAAATATCCTAGACTGTATTTAAATGTTAGAAGCAATTATAGTAACTTTTTTTTCATATCAGTTGTTGTAATATTACTATAATAAAAGCAATCTCACCTGATTACACTTGTAAGACAATTTACCCCAGTATCGCCATAAATTTACAAGTAAAAATTTCACCTTCACATGACCGGTGACATATAATGAGCCTGAAAAAATATTTTTCATCACTTAAAAAAAATTCTAAGTCCCCGAAATACTTATGAAAAATGGAAAATCGAAGGGTGTGACACGGAGTGACAAATTATATATAGTCACGTGGGGTAAAAAATTTTATGGCGATACTAGGTAAGATTGTAAGACATGCTTGATCACATGATTTACGATTTTGTCGATTTCCTTTCATTTCTTCATACAATTTCATTGTCTTGGTAGTTTCTGCATTTAATACTTCTATTATGTGACGTCCATCATTTAACATCCAAATGGAGTCGTTTTATTAATATTACGGCTATATTCATCAAAACTCATTTTTCGTGGATCTTTAATAATTTCAGCGCCGAATGATCATCGCCATCATAACTATCTTCAACATTTTCAGTATGATCAACTTCTTCACTATCTAATTCAACGGGTATAAAGGGTCTTATGCGTTTGATATGTATTACATAGTTGTATTCGTCATCAGTCTGATAAAATTGATTAAAACAGAAATAATCAAGCAGTAAGATTTTCATATATAAATGTTAATTTGATACTCACGCGATTCCTCTTGACTTGTTTAAGTTTGTTTTTACTGGCAGTAATTTCATCCTTATTGTTCTCAATAATTGGCTCCTCGTGCAATTTTTCAGTTATTTTTGTTTGAAACTCCAAGATTTGGTCACTTGCATTCTGCAAAGTTACAACCTTGTGTTTATTCTGTAATACAAACAGATAGTTAGTAAAGATTATAACTTCGTCAAGCATAAACAGTTGATTCTCAGTATACTTGCAATAATTCAGGATTCGAAGTTTTTGTAATGCTTCTTCTTTTTCATCTTTTGAAATGTTTTCCTAACAAGAATTTAAGCACGTCAATAGATCTTGAAACATAAAATATGTCGAAAGGAATAATTCAAAGAACATACCTTGTTGACATTTCTATAATATGAATCTTTCAAAAATAATTGAAGGTTAGTATGCAAGATCTTAAATAATGTTACTTGGTAATAATGTACGCAAGACTGGTTGGTTGTTGCTGTATAAGTTAGGCGCATTGCTATAATAGCAACCCCAGAGTTCCTTCAACACACAAGTTGTGAAAGCGTCTCCATAATTATACTCTATTGGCAACCAGTTGAAAGCAATCCAGTCAACAGGAAGCAGAAACGCAACATCCGTACAATGTTAGGCGCATTGCTATAATAACAACCCCAGAGTTCCTTCGACATCACTATGAAGGATGGAAGCGTCTCCATAAAATGTACCCAGTGTTATCTCTAAGATATAAAAAAATACTTACTTTCGTGTAGAATCTAAAATAAATTTTTACGAAATATAATAAGTATAGACACAAAGGTATCTCAAAGAAAGAGATCAAAAGATGGATAAATGTAACCTAACGCGTGCTTTGCTTATCACAAAATCAAAACGCGACGTGTAATAAACGTGATTATAAGTACGAATTTCAAAACCAATAAAATTTTGTCTTGATTTTTTTAAATAAAACAAAAATCATTAACCGCTTTTAACCTTTGATATATGGAAAATACTATTAAATCAAAAAAAAAAAAAAAAATGGTTTGCATTTGTTCAGAATCTTAAAAATCGGAAATTGATTATAATTAAGATATAATAATATTTTAAAATTCACTAAATAGGTTGCATTAAAATTTTTATTATCTTGAAAATGATAATAGAATTGGTCAGAAATAAAGTTGTTAAATCGTTTTTCCCTTTTCACAGATGCAAAAAAATAATGTATTTATTTCTTTTATTTTGTAAAAAAATGCATTTGTAACAATAGCAGAGTGGTAATGAGTCTTTACTACTCTAGTATTTGATTGAAATAAAACAAATAATTATTAAGAGTAATGTAAAAAGTATATCTATTATATTTTAAATTAAAAAGTCTTTAAAGATGTTAAATCGTTTTAACTTTAATGATTTCTTTTTTTTTGTCTATAGCTCTGAATTTAATACTTTTATATATATATACTTATTTAAATCTACTTTTTTTAGTTTTCTATATGACATTTTAATTTCTAAACCTTACTATTTTCATCTTATAAAACTTGCTTAAAAGTTGTTATGTATTTTATTATATTATGCTAAATCTTTAAGTTAGGATTAAAATTATAAGATTGTTGAAGTTTAGCAAGCTTTATTTTGATTGGTTTAATAGTTTTTATGGTTTTTTCTTTAAAGGACTTGATTGATGATCTAAATGGATTTTAAGTTTTAAGATAAGTTAGGTTATATATAATGAATTTACAAATTAGAATTGGTATTGTTAAGTATTCTTTAATTTTACTTTTAATATTCTTAAGATTTATATCAAATTTCTTTTTATATATTAGTATATTTTAAGTATATATTAACTTATAAGTACATAAAATTAATATTTAAAAGTATTACTAGTAATCTATAGATATCTTATAAATATAAAACTTTTATAATTTAAAGTAATTAGAAAAGTTTACATAATAAAAAAATTTTAAACAAACAAATTAAGATACAATTATATAGATACAACTATATAAATATAATTATATAGATATAATAATATAAATATTATAAAATAAAACTGTTATAAATTATATATAAACAGGTTTATATTTTTTTTTATTAATTTTTATTACATTTTATTAGAAAATAATAAAAATTACATAATTAAAAAATTTTTAATAAATGATAATAAAGAATTTTTATTTTTTTTTATATAAAATTATATAGTATAATAATACTTAATAATAATTAGTTATTTATATAATTTTGTGATAAGTTTTATAGTAAAAAGTAAAAGAAATATTATAGTAATTTATAATGTTATGATATATATCACTTCTTTTAATTATTTATAAATTAAAGTAAATATAATAAAAAAAATAATAAATAAAAAATATTTTCTTTTAATAAATATTTAAGTGATATAATTTAATAATAATTAATAAAACTTTTATTATAAAGAAATTTACCTTTAAATTCCATAAAAATTTTATAAAAAAACAATTTTAATCTATTTTATTTTTCACTTTCTATCTATTATTAAAAAGTAATTATTATATAGTTTTGAAAATAAGCATTCTGTAACATACTTCTTTTATAATAATTTATTTATTTATCATATAGAATTTATTATATTATTAGTCACATATATACTAATAAATTCATATATATCACATGATACTTATTTTTAGGATTATACAATAATTTATATAAAGTAAAGATCATTATATATAAATTTATATGACGATCTGAGAATAATACATATATATAATTTTGAAACTTTTAGAATCTCACATTTTTAATATATATAACCTCTTTTTTAAAGACATAATATATGAGCAAATATAAAAAATACATTATAACACTTATTTTTACTGATCAATTGTAGAAAATTTACATTTAGAACTATTTTATCATAATTGATTACTTTTATAACCTATAAAACTTTTACATATACTCTTCACCTTCTAATCTGATTAGGAATGAAATCTTTCATAGTTTTAAATAACTATAACTTCATAATTACTATTATAAAAGATACTAAAAATCTAAATTCTCCTGGATTTTTATATTATTTTGAAGAAAATTAATCAGATGTGTATAGTTCACTAACAGAAGCCATTAATTTTTACTATAAAAAAGTTTTTCGTTCAAACACAAAGTTTTTTGAACTACCAGTTATGAGATTTGACAATTCAAATATTATATAGCAATTGCTTAATAATGTTATAATTCGTCTATATATATTTAATCTTAGAAAATTAAATATATTTGTGTTGAGAATAGGAAAGTTGAAGAAACTTGAATGAAATTATACAGAAAAAGGATATAAGTTCATTTTTTAATATAATTTTAATGATATAAAATTAACTTTCATTCAAGAGATAGAAGATAAAAAATGTATATTTCAAATATTTACCAATAATACTTTAAAAAACATAACACTATTAATCCTAATTAAGTTTAGTTATGTGTTGATAGGCTTTTAAATTACTTTGAAAAATTCTTTTTGATTAGAAAATTTATACACACAAATTTGTATTTAGCAAGCACAAATTTCTTTATGTATATATTAGATTAAACTTTTAAAAGAATATTAAAAATCTTTATAAATATCATTTGAAAAGAAAATTTTTATATGAAATTAAGTAGTATGACTTATTTGATAAATAGTTAAATTAGAAGAGTGATATATTAAAATTACAAAATGCTATTCTAGATCTTTATTCATCTTATAGATATCTACTAAAACCTTCTCAAAATAATTTTGTTATACCCTTTTCTATATTTTTAATATAATTTTAACAATTTTAGCTTTTATCATATTGAATAGATTTCATTATATCCTTTATTATGATTTTAATATAATTTCATTTAAGTTTTGACTATTATTAAAGGGTTTTATTTCTTATCTATAATTTATTTAATTATGAAATTAGTAATTAAAAATAGCATACTTAAAAAGCATTTATTCAAAATATAGAATATATTAAGATCACACTTTTCAAAGAAGAATTGTAAATTAATAATTATGTGAAAAATCAAAATTTGATTTATTATTTTATTATTTTATTAGCAAATTATATTATTATTAATTTTATTTTTTATTAATTTGAATTTTAGATGAAAGTATATAATGTATAAAAAGATAACAAAATATTATAAATATTTTATGAATTTGGATTCCTCTAACTAAACCTAAATCATCAGAAAATTAATCTTATATATTTTAGCAAGTATTTTGTAATGCATTGAAAAATACATATAATAGTTCAGATAGTCAAAAATGAATTCTTTAATTATTGCTATAAAATTTACCTATTAAAAACTCAAATCAAAATTAAGGGTTAGCATTTATATAAAAATAATATATATTATTAAATTTATTGAATTAAATAAAAATATAAACTTATAGGTAACTACAAATATAATATCAAGAGTCTACCAATATACATATATCAATAAATCAAATATATCTCAAATACAAAAACTAATTACTACTAAAGATAAATTAAGTTAGAAAAAAAATTTAAATTAATTTTTTCTGATAAGACTAATATAATAATGAACTCATATAAAACAGATATTATTATATAAGAATCAGTTTATTACTTTAAAAATATAAAACAAAAATTGTGAAAAAGTTTATAAAAATATCCAAATAGAATAAAATAAATAACTTTTTATGAGCATCTATAAGACAATAAATATATTTATCATAAGAATCTTGGTAATTTGTATTTAATATACAATATATATGATTATGAAATATTTGATAAACTTATTAAATTTATTCAGAATGATGTTAATAACTTTATATCCAGATAATATTTTTTTATAATTTTTTAAAATATGATTATATTCAGTTTATATAAGACTAATTTTGATAATTTTCTTAATAGATTGAGAAGAAAAAGTGAAATATTATCTTAAAAAGGAATATGAGTCATATTTAATTATAAATTCTAATAGTATAACAGCAAATAATACATATATAAACTATTACCTTCTTTTTGCATTTAATATATATAATGAATAATATATACATATGTTTAGAATGTGATGTACTTTTTTAATTTTTTATTGATATTAAAAAATATATATTAAACAATATTTATAAAAAAATTTGTGAATTACAAAATCAAATTTTTTATTATTTGAATTATCAAATATGTAAAGTATTTCTAAATGTCCAATTTAATACAAATCTATTAGTTTTAAACAAAAATGAAGTTATAATAATAGTTAACTATAAAATGAAAATTTTACCTAAAAATGCAAGAAAACAAAAAGTATCTTTTTGAAAAAAGGTTAAACATTAGATTTGATTCTTATATATATATGAAAATTTAGAAATCTTTAATTAGATATTCAGACATATAATTACTGATCAGTTGATACATGCTAAGATGCATAATTTACTGCATCTTCATTGCATGCAGTTATTAAATTACTTGAAGTCAAATCAGATTAAATTACTTTTCTTTCTGATAATAGATTACACTATAATAACATGAACCTAATGTTAATTCTAAAACATTAAAATAAATGGCATAATATTACAGTAAAATGGATTTTTTTTAAAAGCAGAGAAAGCTGAAAGTTAAGACTTCTATTAATTTTCACCATGCTTAAGCAGTAATGACATATGACCTTTTATAACTTATATAATTTGATGACTAGTCATATATCATTTAGTCATTTCAATAAGTATTATGACTTT